AGCAGCCCCTCCATAGGAGAAAAGACCTAATTATCTGCTCCCATAAAGATCAAAAAACAAAACCCAGGGAACCCTATGCAGTTCTGTTCTGTCCTAAAGGGTTGATATAAGTCAACTGGACAGCAACTGCTTTTTTTGGTTTTGTTTTGTTTTTAAGCTTATATACTCTGGTAGCATAGTGCCTAAGGCACTTGACTGCTAACCAGAAGGCTGGTGGTTCAAACCCACCAGCCACTCCTGGGAAGGAAGATGGGGCAATCTACTTCCGTAGAGATACTGCCTCAGAAACCCAAGGAGGGGTCGCTATGAGTCGGGTCTGACTCCACAGCATATAACAACAACAACAATAATACGTGAGTATTTGACTTAATAGTCTAGACTTTGGGGAAAAAATGGATTTTTTGTGAAGACCCATAAGGGTCTAGCAGCACAGTCCTTACGTCAAAGTTACTAGTTGCATCTCCTTTTTTGTAACTTCGATCTCCATTTCAGGATATGTTGAAGTAAGACTATAAACCAACATAAATGATCCTCTCTTTAGGGAAATGAGTGAGTTGAAACGGTAACCTTTTTGGATTTTCTCTAAGGCTCAGGAAGCCCACCATGCTTTCTCTGATATCCAAACCTAAGTTCATAATGCAGTAGAGTAGCCACCAGAAAATTATGATGAAGGAAGTGACAGCTGTGAAAGGGAGTAAGCTGGAGAGAATGGAAGATAGGTCAAGGAAACTAGATAATGAAATACATTAGAGTCGAGAATTGACTATAATTTTATTTTATGTTAATACTGAAATTAACTCAATAGCAACTAACAACAACAATGAATATTTATAGTTTAATTATAAAATCAATTCACAATCAATGTTGGAAGTACAATATAGTGTAAGTACAAAACAAAAATTTAAAAAATGCCACATTGTCACAGCCCAGAGGAGTTCTAGATGGGATCCTGTAACAGAAATAGGACATTAGGGAAAACTGAGGAAATATGAACAAGGCATGGACATTAGTTAATTAATAATAATAATAATAATAAAAAACTAATACTCATGTCCCAGATGTAGTACCACTGTAATATTAATATTTAATGTAATTCTGAAAGCCAACATTTCTATAGTGATTTTAGTATGAACTAAAACCTGTCTAAATATGTATTGTTGTTGTTAGATGCCGTTGAGTCCTCTCAAATATGTATTTAAAAAAAAACAAAAAACTAATTGCTGACTAATCAGTTCCAACTCATAGCGACCTCTCCTTGGGTTTCCTAGGTGGTATCTCTATGGAAGTAGATTGCTCAATCTTCCTTCCCAGGAGTGGCTGGTGGGTTTGAGCCACCAGCCCTCTGGTTAGCAAATGCCTTACGCACTATGCACCATATCTATCTATCTATCTATATGTTGTTGTTGTTATGTGCCCTCGAGTGGGACCCGACTCATAGTGACCCCTCCTTGGGTTTCCGAGGCAGTATCACCACGGAAGGAGATAGCCCCATCTTCCTTCCGAGGAGTGGCTGGTGGGTTTGAACCGTAGGACAGAATAGAATATCCTATATAGTTTAGTGTCTAAGGCATTTGACTGCTAACCAGAAGGCTGGCAGTTCAAACCAACCAGCCACTCCTCTGAAGGAAGATGGGGAAATCTACTTCCGTAGTGATACTGCCTTGGAAATCCAAGGAGGGATCCGACTTAGCTGGCAGTGAGTTTGATTTTGTTTGTAAATGGTTTCCAAGGTTGTAATCTTTACCAAAGCAGATTACCTCATCTTTCTCCTGTGGATGAGCTGGTGTGTTGAACCGCTGACCTTTTCTTAGCAGCCAATCACTTAACCGCTCCACCATAAGGCTTCTCCGCCCCACAGTTGTTTGCTATCAACAATTGCAAACAGGGCAAAGATATGTAAAAATGCTTTGCAAATGCAATTTTAGGATTATTTCTTAAGCTTTCCCTCTTCAGCATTGTCTTTTCCCTGTCCACACACAATAAGGACATTTTGTAGTTAACAAGCTGTCCGTTACATATGTAGAGACAGTATTATTAGGTCAAAAATCATCTACCTACTTGCTCATTGAAAGTCTGTTTTCCCTATTCCAGCTATCATTGATCATTGGTAAAACTAAAAAATTAAATCTAAATCTTATAGGCAAATCATTTTTTTTCTTTTTTAATAGAGGTCTAAGTTCTTTTGTTTAACAATAAGGAAGGCATTTGACTGTTAATCAGAAGGCTGGCATTTCAAACCCACCCGCCACTCGTGGGAAGGAAGATTTGGGAATCTCCTTCTGAAGAGATACCGCCCCAGAAACCCAAGAAGGGGTCGCTATAAGTTGGAATGGGCTGCATGGCAGTGAGTTTGTTCGCTTTTTGGTTTTATGGAGAGTTTGAATAGTATGATTGCTTTGAAATAATTTTTCACAATTTACAAAAAAATTGTAGAAAATAAATGAAAAAAATATATATCCCTCCCGATTTGAACAATATAGCATCTTTTTAAAAGTTAGTTATATATATATTTTTTTTCTGGACAGGATTTCAAGCATCTGGCAGGGCAAAACTCAATTGAACTTTTCTATACCAGCTTTTCTGCTCTGGACTGTAGAAAGACCTTAAAGAAACACATACACACACACAACAAACCCACACCATTAAGTCAATTCTGACTTATACTGAGCCTACAATGCATAGTAGAAGTGCCCCCACAGAGTTTTCAAGGCTGTAAATCTTTTCGGTAGCAGACTGCCACATCCTTCTCCGGTGGAAAGGCCGGGGGTTCGAAGTGCTAATATTTGGGTTAGCAGCCAATGCTTTACCCACAACACCGTCAGTGCTCCTAGAAAGATCTTAAGGGGATTATAAATCAGTATTGTTTGGCCAGTAGTGCCTTCAAAGATTTGTTGTGGAACCAAGAATAATTTCCCAAATATTATATACGTATTTAAAAATAGGGAGACTTGGTCATTGCCACGTTGGTGGTTTTCAGGGTACCTGGTGTCCTCTTCACAGAGCGCTTGCTCTGTGGGCATATGGGGTCCAGTACCTGCCCCCTAAGTCATTTTGGGTCAGGGAGATGCTGGCCCTCTTACACTGTGGCATCACCATATTACTGCGACAGTCCAGAGTCCCTGCGCCGTACAGGGCTAGCGCGCATGCGCATAAGTTCTTCAGGATTTACCAGGCGCTGCGCAGCTGGTCGCACACAGAGCCGGACAGCGGTAGGAGATGCCCCACGCTTCGGCGTGAGGTGCGGTCAGTGGCGACATGGAGCGAGTCAGGTCAGCAGCAGGTGGCTACCCTCAGACAGCCAGGATGGGGGACCTTTATATCTCTTCCTCAGATATTAAAATCTTCAGGAGTTGAAATAGAGTTCTGTAAATTGGGAATGCGTCCCTCCAGTTCTTTGTTCTGGAAAGTCAGATCGGACACCTTTGGAGGCTTGAACCCTCGGCTGTCGGTCCCTGCATGGTATCCTGTCCGCGTCCTCTTACGCCATAAAGAATTCTGGCCCATCGTCCCAGTTCTCTTACATCAAGTCAGGTCCTGTTGAGTGCTATTGCATCCAAGGCAGCTGCCCTTTGTCCCGCGGGTTAGAGGTGGAGGTGGTGGCCATGGCTGTGGGGATGGGGTAGCAGAATTGTCTCAGTGGGAGGGAAAGAGGCGGTAAGGTGGCCTCAGTGGAGAGGACGGGAGTTAGAAATGATGATAGGGTGGCCACAGTGGTAGGGAGACACAAGCGTGAGATTACGGTGAGGGGAGAGGGTAGCATATTACCCATAATGGTGAGGGATGGGGGCAGGGAGGGAGCAGTTGGATGACTCTTGGCAAGAAATGCAGTGAGGTGACTACAGAGAGGGCAAAAGGGAGGTGAGGTGGCGGGGAGGAGTGGAGAGATGGCTGCAGTGGCCAGGTAAGGGGATGAGGTGATGAGATGGTCACAGTGGTAGAAAGGGAGCGCAGCAGGGCAGGACTTGTGGGTTCCTGGTGGCAAGGTGACCATGATGGTGAGGACCTGCACTCGAGAGGTGGCTGTGGCAAATGACAATGTCAAAACGAAGGGGGGCGTGGGCAGCAGAGTAGCTGTGGTGGTAGCAGGGAAGAGAAAGGAGAGGGCTGAAGTGGAAGAGGGAACTTCTGGGCGGTCGAGGGTTGTGGGTTGGCTGCGGTGGCTGGAAGGGGCGGTGACAGACTGGCTGTGGTGGAAGGGAGGGCTAGTGGTGGGGAATCTGGTGATGGGAGGGGTGGTGGAGTGGGGAAAAGTGATCCATGGTGTGGTAAGGGTCGGCGAGAGGGGCTGTTGGACGCCATAGAAAGGGTTACTTTAAGTCATTAGTTTGTAAATGGAGACTGTTACTACTCTTGAAGAAAAAGGAGAATGTTAAATATTGTGACTTTAATATTGAGTTTGAGTTTTATGGCAACCCTGTTTTTAAAAACCCATCTTTAAAACGAGGTGATGGCTGCGGAAATACTGTTTTTTGGTCTCTTTTACTCCACTTGGATTTTGTGGCTATTTTGTAACAAGATAATGCCCTGCAGCTCATTTAGTACATCTCACTGAAAGACGAAGTCCTAGCGGATGATACAGTGGGTCGCATTGCCTCTTCTTGTGTTCAGAATGACATCTTGGAATGCAGACTAGAGGCGTAGGGTTCCAGCACTGCCTGGCTGCCTTTGTGCTGTTCCCCAAAGATGGCCGCAGCTGCAACAAATGAGGATCTGCGCAGGCGCTGGGCAGGGGGCAATTGCCCCCTCCTCATGGTGCAGCAGTTCACGGTGGAGCCAACTTTGCATAGCTTCTTGAGTGTTGGGAATTTTGGTAGCACCCTCATCGAAGTGCCACAATGAGGGGGGAAGGTGCAGGCCCGGATGGGTGGATACTTGCCCCCTACCCAAATGTTGCAGTGGGGAAGGGCGCATGAGGCGCAGGCGCAGTAGAGATAGCAGCCGCCTGTGCCCCTTGGTGGGGTCAGGTGGGAGAGGGAGTCTGCGCAGTCTCTTTTGATGGAATGACAGACAACTTTTCCACCGGCCTGGTACAAGGGGAGTTCCTTCCCCACAATGTTGCAGTGATGTGGGAGTATACAGGTTTGCGCAGTCTATCTATGCCTGACAATATTGGCAGCAGCCCTCCTCCCCGCAGTGCTGCAGTGAAGTGGGGAGGGAAGTGAGAAAGTGACCAGGGATTTGTGCACCCTATGCTTGCCGAGGATGGTATCCATGTTGCACTTCCTTCTTTGTGTTATGCTATGGAGGAAAAGGGAAGGGCAGTAGAAGAGACCAAGAGGGACAAGGTCCTTGCCACTCCAGGGTCAGCCGTGCTGTTCAAAGCAGCTTCCATCACTGATAGTTCCAACACAGTGGATTTTAAATGTTTCCCGAGTCTCCAGATAGAACCACATTTTTATTTGGTGGATCCTTGGTTGCATTGTGCAGTTTAATTGTCTCCATTCTCAACGTGGATTCTTCCATTTATACCAATTCATTTTTCAAAGCCTGTGATTTCCACTTTTCAGATTTCACAGTTCCAAGGGTGCTTCACCCTCAACAGTCAGTCGGTCTTAACCTGTGGTTATTCCATTTGTAACCTTGCAGAGTTTTTTTAAACTGATATTAAGGTGTAGTTCAGCCCAAGTTGAGAGGAAGTATCAAATTCTAGAGCCTTCCCAGGCTCTAGTTGTGGTTCAGCTAGAGCTGATATCAGTGAGTTGTGTTTGCACAAGAAGAGGAAATCCGAAAAGAGAAAATCTAATTAGGCTGGGGGTTTGCTTAGGGTCAGGGAATTCTGCCTTTAACTGGATTTTTAAGTTAATGCTTTTGACTATATTTGAAACTGGAGGTATGATGAATATTTGATGGAAAGAACCATGAACAAATTAACTATCCCTATGTATCAGTGCTTTGATTTTTTTGAGGAGGACATTTTTATTCTAAGACTTTTTTTTTCTTTGTAGAGTTTTCATGTATTTGCTTCTTTTTAATGTAACTGGTTTGTTGTGTTGAATTGGCATCAGTTAAGGAAAAGGGAAACAACATTGTTCTGGAATTCCTTGTCTTTTTTTGAATTGTTTAAAAAATAGAAGTCTGGAATTTTTGTGTGATGCTTATGATTTGCTCTTTTTTTTTCTGCTCATTTGAAGATATTGCTTGAGATACTTATATCTTAATTTAACTTCTGATCATTTGACTCTTTGCAAGCTGAATGTGTATTATTCTTGTCTACCATTTTGTAGTCTTTCATTCAGGTTTTCAATATTGTAGGATACCTTAGGAAAGGCCTCAACTTATCATGAACATGTGAGGTGTCAAAGTCTCTGCCTTGCCAGTGTATATTTGGCTTGGTATCAGGGCTTTTTTAAAATGAAGCGGGAGTGTGAGCTCTTTGCCTGGTTTAGAATACAGAGGCTTGAACAAGAGACTTTCATTGCCAGCTAAGGCAAGATAATATCTGACAACTGAGTTTATTTATGGAGTTTATCTGACCAGTCTTTCCCTACTGATGTATTTCTCTATGATATGATACTATACATTTTAATTTTTCCTCTTGCTTCTCTAATGTGCTCAATTTGTTTCCAACAAGATGCCCATTGATGATGTCAAGGAGTCCAACTTTATTTTACATTACCAAAACCAAACTCACTGCTGTCGAGTTGGATTAGACTCATAGCTACCCATGCTTGGGTTTCCGAGGTGATATCAGTACAGAAATAGATTGTCCAACCTGTTTTTAGGAAGAATCCTTGAAATAAATATCATATGAGTACAGCCTTCAACATAGCAGGCATAGGGAGATTTTTAAAAGATCTCCTTTTCTTTTGTTGCCTTATCACTGGTCCTGTGGGTAATTGGAGACTAGGGCAGCTTTGGTAAAAGGAAGGGGCACTCTGAATCTAATCTTAACCTTCTGTCCTGTTGCTACCCTTATCTCTTGTGGCCCAGAACAAGGAAACTTTTGTGAGAGTTGTTGTTGTTGTTGTTGTAGAGTTGTTACTGGTTAAAAAAACTTAATTCACTGATAACAGTAGAGCGGTGGCAGAGCATGAATGTAGAGCATGAATGCTACTTGTTTTCTTTTCCATTTTATGAATGCTAGCTAGTGCAGAACGATCTTTTTGAAGATTCCCACAGTTTTGTAGACACTGATTTTTTTGTGTGTGTGCCAATAATTTTGGCATCCCCTTAGTTTCCAAGTGTCCCGTTTGTTGTCTTTAAATCCTTATTATAATTTTTAGGATTTGATAAGCAGCATAGCTGTTATGTACATACCAAATCCCCCTTAAAGCTATTTTATGAACAGTTGTAGTTGTGAAGTTTAAAAGAACCTAGATGAAGAAGAGCTGAGAAAAGGATGATAGTTGTGGGTTTTGTCTACCTTAATTTTATGTGCTGGGTCAATTTCCTCTTTTAAATTGAATCCAATCAGTTTGGTAACTTGGATAGGCCTTTAGTATTCAGTCTTTATGTTTTAATTTCTGGATACTGGATTTGTAGCTGTTAGCTATTTTAGAAAATAAATGTTTACCTTTGCTTATAAGCAGGGTAGGTTTAGAGCAGAGAACTGGATTTCAGTATAATATCAGGCTCTAGATGAGATTGAGGTTAATTTTAAGGCAGCCTAGAGTGAAATGGTTGAGGAGAATAATACTATTAGAGAATGAAGTTTTTTGGATGGACATCCATTTGGCATAAGAGCAAGTGTGAAGGTGACTGAACATGCATAATATTAATTAATGTTTATGTTCAAATACATAAAATATGTACTTACTCTTCATAGTGCCCAAGGCATTTGACTGCTAACCAGAAGGCTGGTGGTTCAAACCCATCAGCCACTCCTTGGAAGGAAGGTTGGGCAATCTACTTCTGTAGTGATACTGCCTTGGAAACCCAAGGAGGGGTCTGTATGAGTCAGATTTGAATTGAAGGCAGTGAGTTTGTTTTTTTGGTTCTTCACTATATTATTATCTTAGGAGCTCTGGTGGCATAGTGCGTAAGGCATTTGACTGCTAAACAGAAGGCTGGTGGTTCAAACCCACCAGCCACTCCTTGGAAGGAAGGTTGAGCACTTCCATAGTGATACTACCTCGGAAACCCAAAGAGGCGTCGCTATGAGTTGGCTCCAACTCCACAGCAGTGAGTTTTTCTTTTTAATAATATTGTTGTTGTTATGTGCCCTCAAGTCGGACCCGACTCATAGTGACCCCTCCTTGGGTTTCCGAGGCAGTATCACTACAGAAGTAGATTGCCCTATCTTCCTTCCGAGGAGTGGCTGCTGGGTTTGAACCGCCAGACTTCTGATTAGCACTCAAGTGCCTTTGGCACTGTGCTACCAGAAATCCCTTAAATATATTATTATCTTACATTTCTCATCTACAACAATTGTGAAAAATCTGATATCCATCTATTTTGCACATTTAAGATACAAGTCTTGTAGTAAGGAAGATTGAATGTAAGGTAAGAGCAATGATGGCTTGTGGTGGTGATTAAAGTCATGTCAGCTTGACTGGGCTGTGATTCTGAGTGGTTTGGCAATTAGGTCATGAGGTACTCATTGTCAATTTTGTGATCTGATGTGGCCAACCTCCATTTTCACATATGCTGAGTTTTACATAACAATCTGGTCTTTGGAACTTAATCATGTTGATAAATGTGGGGTGGGTATATGGGAGCTCTGGTGGCGCAGTGCCTAAGGCATTTGACTGCTAACCAGAAGGCTGGCAGTTCAAACCCACCAGCCACTCCTTGGAAGAAAGATTGGGCAATCTACTTCTGTAGTGATACTGCCTCAGAAACCCAAGGTGGAGCTGTTGTGAGTAGCATCTGACTCAACGGTAGTGAGATTTTTGTTTTTAATCTGTCATATTAAAAAATATTAAAATATTTAAAGACAGGGAAAGTTCCTATTAATGTATTCCTCCAGAAATGATAACATTTCTTAGCATTTTGTGGGGTGGACATCTATGCCATGTAGCTGGCTGGTAAGGCAGGCAGTGGTCCAGCTTCCTCAGAAACACCCCACCTTGGGCTATTTGTCGGGGGATTGTTCAAATAATTTTTCTATGCTTATCGTAAAATGTTTATTAACTTCATTATTTTTGCTTAGCTAAACTTATTTGCAGTTTTTTTTCACTCATTACTCATGGTTAAAACAAAAACCCAACTGCATTTTTGTTGAGTCAATTCCAACCTATAGTGATCCTATAGGACACAGTAGAATTGTTCCTTAGCCTTTCCAAAGCAGTAATCTTTATGGAAGCAGATTTCCACGTCTTTCTTCCATGGAGCACCTGGTGGGTTCTAACCAAACGATTAGCGGCAGGGTGCTTAACCACTGTTAAGTTGTTGTTGTTGTTGTTATGTGCCGTCCAGTCAGACCTGACTCATAGCGAACCCCTCCTTGGGTTTCCAAGGCAGTATCACTATGGAAGTAGATTGCCCCATCTTCCTTCTGAGGAGTGGCTGGTGGGCTTGAACCACCAACCTCCTGGTTAGCAGTCAAGTGCCTTAGGCACTATGCTACCAGAGCTCCCTGCTTAACCACTAACCACCAGGTTTCCTTTTACCTTAGGTTAAAAAACCAAAACTAAACCCAATGTTACTGAGTCGATTCCAACTCACAGCAACCTCCATAGGGTTTCCAAGGCTGTAAATCTTTACACAAGTACATTACTCCATCTTCCTTTCACAGAGCAGCTGGTGAGTTTGAACCGTTGACGTACTGATTAGCAACCAAATGCTTTATCCACTGACCCACCAGAGCTCCTTTTACCCATGGTTACATGCCCATGAATAAATAAGTTCTATTTAGTTCTCTTTATTGGTTTTATCTCAAAATGAAGAGTGGGCAGTCTACTTCCATAGAGATAATAACTTGGAAAACCAAGGAGGGGTCACTATGAGTCAAAATGTACTCAATGGCAGTGAGTTTGGTTTTTTGGGGTTTATGGGTTTTATGGTTTATTTTTGAGTAACTTAATTTTCACTAGAAACTTATGATAGATATTTGGTAGGTTCACTTTTCAAGTTTTATTTGTTACTACAAGCAACTGAGGTTGGATAATATTTCTGTAAGAAAATTTAAGAATACTTCTGAAATCAAGACTGTATCTTTTAAAAAATTTTATTTCTGATTGCCTCCTCAAGGATAAAATTACACTTTTAAAAGCTGAG